TGCTGAAGCAAGTGCACAATTCCTGAATACTCATGCACTTCATTAGGGACCATGCGGTAGAAGGAAGGGAAGTGAGTTGTGTCAGTTTGTTTTGGGGGGAATGAGCCATAGGTAAGCTAAAGAAAATAGGCAGAAAATCTAGTGACTTGCTTGGAGGAAGGATTTTCCATGCAGCGACTCTTCTTTGGTCAAGAAAAGTCAGAGTGTCGATGTCTAAAAATGGCAAGTTTAAAGAAAGTGTCCCTTTCCCATAGCAGACATTTATGAACATGCATTTATGTGAGGAAAACAGCCATATCAATAAATTGTATGCAATTCATACTTGTATTAAGTGTTCCTTCACAGTCTGAAGCCATTTTCTCTTTGTCTTTGCTCTTTTAACCATGGGATTTTCCCCCATTAAATGATACTTCACCATGCTTTGGAACCACATATTCCCTTTTCAATTACATTAGTAATGGGGTATGAAAGGTGGCATGGCAGGGTATTCCATGCTGATTTCTTACCTGTGGTATCTTGTAGAGGCATAAAATGTCCACCACATGGAAGGAAGTATCAGAAGACAATTTATTTTTTTAAATTTAAATTTATTTTTCAATTTATATCCTGCCTTTTTTCCTACAAAGGGCTCAAGGCAGCTTACATCATTCTCCTCCTCCATCTTATCCCCACAACAACAACCCTGTGAGGTAGGTTGGGCTGAGAGTCTGTGACTGGCCCAAAGTCACCCAGTTGGCTCCATGGCTGAGCTGGGACTCGAACCCAGGTCATCTGAGTCCCAGTCCCATTAAGCTTTTCATTTTGTCACATTAATAGTTGGGCACAAACTCATGAGATTTGGAGACCAAGCCCAGAGTGGCATGATAGGTCATTGTCTCAAAGAAGTAGGTGTCATAGATGTGGAACCCAATGGTGACATTGGGCAAAATCCAAGGGTCTGTATTGATCTCACTCACAGCAAATGCCAAAACCAGGAGGTGCTGATAGAACTTGGTCATCATGCTGTAGATAAAGGAAGATTACATTTCAAAGGTGAAATATGTCATGCATTACAATGTTGATCAGGATGCTGGTGCACTCTATCTAAATGAACTTGAAGGACAATATGATCCTTTGACAATGTCTCAGACACACACGTGAAAGAGGTTCCTGGCAACTGAGCCCAATTATTGTCATCCAGTGGAGCACAGTATTCTTCATAATGAACTGGAAGGGAACTATCCTTGGTGCTGAATTCAAGGTGTATTTATCTTAAGCCATAAGCATAGTTTGAGTAAAGTTCTGGCTAAAATCCTAAAAGTCCAAACACAACCTCACTGACATCACAGTAACCAGTTTCCACTTCATAGTGCAAATTCCTTGGCTATTCCATTTTCTGTGCCATCATGCTCTGTTCCCTGCATTGAACCATGCTTATTCTACCTAGAAAGCCTGTGCTCCATACCGTTCATGTGAGAGACAGAACCAATTTTTCTAGAAATGATCATACATTTGAAATAAATGGTCAAATTTAAGAGATTATTTTATCACTTTTTTCTGAAGAGGAATACTTAGCATGGAGGATTTCCCTGAAAGTGCAGAGGGTTCCTTCTTTGCTTCTTTTCTCATTGAGTGCAAATTTGCTTCACTGTCTAGGATGAGTGTCTTGTCTTGATATATTCAGCTTGGATTCTTATTTTTTATTATAATTATTATTAATCCTCAAATATTTCTGCATTTTACATACACCTAGAGATGACTTTGCAAAAACTTGTGACAGAAAGCCCTGTTGTTCTCTCCTAAACTATTGCACTTCCATATTACTCTCACATAGGGAAAAATACATATACTAGACAAGAAAAAGTTGGATGAGGATCTTACACAGGAAAATCAAAGCCCATCTCCTGGGATGGGTGCTTGCTGAAGAAAGCGTCATTCAAAATATACATGATATGAGAGGTAATCCCACCAATGAGGAAGATTCCTGGCTGGTTCCACTCATGTTGAACTGGGAGGGGATCCCTTCCAGGGCATTCTTGCTTATCACTTCTGCAGTCATGCAGAGCCAGCAGAAGAAAGAAACCCAGGGATCTCATTCTGTCCTGAGCAGATGCCTTTTGCTGTAGACAGTTTGCCTACCACCTCTTAGGACCAATAACTACAGACATAAAACTCCTTTAACTGCCTGCAGCAGAGGAGAGAAGACTCCACTGCACCTAACTCATGGCACTGTTCTTCTCTGGATTTGCTTGACGCCTCACTGCTTGCATCAGTTTCATTTGAATAGTTGCAATAACCATCACTGTATTTAAAATGTTACATGAAAAACACTGTCTGGAATTATAATAATGGCCCTGAGTCTCAGTGGCTTTAAAATAGAGTTCAGCAAATCCATGGTAGAATATGGGTGGCAATAACTGCTAACCATAACGATTTATTACCTCTAGACTCCCAGGGAATACATCGCTCTGTGAAAATTGAAAGGGAAAATGAGTTACAAGTGGCTATTCCATTTGTCTTTTGTTCGTTTTTGTAACCTACTCCCCACACCACATCAATGCCCCCCGATAATCCAAGAGGTTAAAAAAAGCATCCATATTTTTAAAAAATGCATTATTGAAAATATAACGAACAGCTGATAATACAGTGAAAACATACAATGAAGCAAATCAACATTAGGCATCAATTAATAGCCCTCCTCTCCCAGAATTAACAGAATACATGATTTTTTACAGGCTTTGTACAAATGGGTTTGCCTCCTGCTGAAGGGAAAAGGCGGATGAGATGACCTACAGCTTTTTAACAGGAAGCTCCAGAAGCTGAGAAAGCTGAGAAAGTCCACCGCGAAGGCCAACTCATCCATCCCTGAAAAATAGGATTCAGCTGGTGATGCTACAAGCATGAGGGCTTCTTCCTTAAAAGCATGGCCAGCTCATCTCAGCTTGAAAGAAAGCTGTCCATCTGATGGTCTGACTGATTAGCTATGGGCCTTTCTATATTAAAACTAGTAGCTCTTTGAGATGTTGTTCTTGCCAATAATGCAGTTGAAACAGGTACCATGTGCTTCTTATTATTGCTTTCAATCAACAGTCCATTGCAGCATTCAGCCCAATCTCCCTGCCAGAAGTACCCTCACTTTTTTTACATATACAGGGCTAGAATAGTTACTATCTAAACACTGAAGAAGTATCACTTATTGTTGATGACTACTTTTATCTGCTGTGCTTGTCTGAACCTTGTACTTGAGGAGACCAGAAGCAGACTGCCTGAAGATGGTCATCACATCAAAGACATACTCATGTCAATCCCAGAGCCTGGGATAGAAGAATCTGACATTTTGGTTCCATGATAAGTAATGTGGTACAGTTAGAAAACCACCAACTCAGAATTGACATGATTTGCTTTGAAACAAGAGAGAATGAACAAGCAAGTGAGTGAATGAACAAATGAATGACCTGCAGTTTGCACATCTTCCACAATGCATTAACAAAGTAATAACAAATGAACTGCATTGGTTGGGAAAACAGGTAATAACTAATAACCTGCACTGCCAGGGAATTTCTTATGAAGCAGAGGAACAAATGAAGTAACATGTGTTAATGCATGTGGTGGAGGGTGACAAATGAGTGTGTTTCAGTACAGTATTAAGGGAAGATCCTTTTACAGTGTTTGGTGTGTGAAATTAGCAATAAGCATGAGAAATGCTTGAGAAGAATTCTTAGGGTAAACCTATCCATGTCTGTGTAGACCAGCCTCAATTCATTGCAGGAGAAAGTAGTTATGGAACTAAGCAATATGTGGTAGGTATCAACATCACCTTGTTGAAGTTTGAAAAGTGATTTGAAGATTTTCATATATTTGTGGAGATGCACTATTACAATGCAAATGAGCAATAGTTAAAATTAGGTCTGCAGACTCCTAGACTAGTTACAGAGCCTCCAATCAATAACACAACATTGGAGAATAAAATTAAAAGTATACAGTTATATATTCCATTACTTCTTCCTCCTTACTAGACATTCCTTGCTGTTCAACTCAGGCCTCAGCAAAATTATATAGCACTTGGGGGAAAAGATGCAACCCAGTAAGCCAGCACTGGAAGCTAAGATGGAGAAGATCTCCACAGCCACCATGTACTTCCCCTTGGTGCTCAGGTAGGTGGGAACAAATGATAACCAAACGCTGCAAAACACCAGCATGCTGAAGGTGATGAACTTGGCTTCATTGAAACTGTCAGGCAGTTTCCTGGCAAGGAAAGCCACCACAAAGCTGACGATGGACAGAAGTCCCAAGTAGCCCAGCACACAGTAAAACATGATGACAGAGCCTTCGTTGCACTCTGCAATGATCTGCCCTGTGATGGAATGCATGTTCATACTTGGGAAAGGGGGGAAAGTTCCCAGCCATAAGGCACAAATGCCTGCTTGGATCAAAGTGGAGGTAAGGACCACAAGGGCAGACAGCCTTCTCCCCATCCACTTTCTCGTGTTTGACCCTGGCTTGGTATCCATGAAAGCCATCACCACAGTGACGGTCTTTGCTAATACACAGGAAACGGCCAGGGAGAAGATTGTGCCAAAAGCAGCTTGTCGAATAAGGCAGTTGACCAGGCCAGGTGGGCCAAGGAAAATCAAGGAGCAGAGGAAGCAAAGCAGGAGGGAGGTGAGTAGAGTGTAGGTGAGGTCCCTGTTGTTGGCCTTCACTATGGGGGCATCTTTGTACTTAAGAAAAGTTCCAAGCACCAAGGCTGTGACCAGTGAAAAAGAAAGTGCTACTGACAGCAGGCCAATTCCTAGAGGTTCTTGATAAGATAAAAATGTTATCACTTTGGGGATGCATCTGTCTCTGCTCTTGTTTGAGTAATAATCATCCGGGCATTGTAAACATTCAGCCATGTCTGGAAAAAAAAGGAAAGAAAACTTTAGATACATGGTCGATCAATCTGCTTCTCACAAGATGATTTGATGTTAGAAATATTGGTGCTTCCTCCTTCTACCACCTGATTCTGTGCATGGAGCTCGGTTTTTTTCAGAAAAATAGGTTAAAATGCACCACCATATCCATTCTGAATCAATAGTATTGTCAGCTGTATTACATTGTGAGATAAAAATCTATTCATGGTCTATGGGCACAACAATCCCAAAAACAGAGCTTGTTGGAAGACATCTGTGCTGATTGGCACCTCTAAGCTGGACAGAGCTGTGAAGTCATATTTGTCTTATTGACAAGGACATTATTCTAACGACTTTGTTTCAGTGTCCAGCAAGAGCCCATTTATTGCTCTGAGGTGCATGTATCTATATATCAAATGCATGCTTGTATTCATTACTGCCACCATGACCACCTTCTTTGCATATTCATTTGAAAAGGAAGTGTGAAAAATTATCATGTCCAGTGTAAAAGATGGGACAACCAAGGAGGGCGATGGGAGGGGGATGGGGAGGGGGAGAAGGAGGAGGAGGAGGAGGCGAAGAGAACAAGGAGTAGGGCCTTTAATAAGATAATAAGATTTCATCTCCCACAGTTATCCCCCAGTTGCCAGTACACAATATCAGACTTTCACTGGCCATTTCGGCAGAGAATGTTGACTTGACTAGAGACATCGATAGCCATCTTCCATGAAACTGGATACCCAATTTAAAGCTAAGTTTGAACCCATCACCAAGTCTTGCATTAGATAATTCCATGGCTTGATGTTTTTGTGCAAGGAGAGGTACTTGCATTTGTTTTCATTCAAGTTAGGTCATGCTGGTCTGGAAGAGGATGCATTTTGTCCTAATGTGTTTCCCCATGATCCTTTCATTATACAGGATGCAAAAGGGAGAGAGAAAGAAAGATCATTCTTTGGCTTTGCAAAGCTAAAGTACTTGAAATTATGAAATTTGGTTGATTGTTCTAATGACACTTGGTTTGCTTGTGAGTTTTTACTTCAGATATATCAGAAAAGCCTTCAATATTGTGTAAGAATTCAAAGGAGATGTTCACCGAAAAAATCCAACAACAACAACAAACAAACAAACCCAAAACATAACTTTGTGCCCCCAATCTTCATCTCATGATGACTATTAATAAATGATTAGCTTTATATTAATCTAGCTATTTGGAATGTTATCCACCAACAGTTACACACTTGTTTGGTTGGAAATCTTCCCTTCTGGACATGGGTCACAATCAAAGCAGCAAAATTTCCTTCCTTCCTGCTTTCTCCTCTGGAAGCCCAACTTGCAGGACTCAGTGCAGACAGAAACAGGAAGCACCTATTCATTGAAAAATGTTTGGAAATTAGATGAGAGAAGGTAGTGTTAGAGGAAAGTTCATCAACTGAAATGGAAAGAAACAAGTGAGCAGGTGATATGTGTGCACAGAGAACATGAAATAACTAAGTGTAGAATGGACAATATGTTCCTGAACATAGCCACAAATATTTCTGGATCCTATTGTTTTGCTATGGACAGCGAAAAAACCAACCTCAAAAATGAGCTACCAGGTCTGGGATTATCAACAGTTTCCCAAGTTTCAATACTGACCAAAACACCCATCCAATTTCCTTGCATCCAGTATTTTTCTTCTTCTTTCTCCTTTATGTTCTGCCCAGCAAGGAGGAAAAGGAAGTTTGTGGGAGAGCAAGCCAGGATACATTGAGGAACAGCAGGAGGTCACTTGGGATTTGGCAGGATGAAATCCCAGGTGGGAGCAGCAGGTGGCCACGGGGCTCAACAGAAGGGCATAGCAGAGACATGGGCTTATACGGGGAAGGAAATTGTAGTAAAACAAGAGAAAGTACCTTGATGAAAAAAGGGGTTTGAAGGAAATATCAAGTGCAGGGAAGGGTGGTGAAGATTTAAGAGGGTGTTCGGGTTCTGCAAAAGAAACTGCACAGAGGGGAAAAATCAACAATCCATGAGAGGTCAAACAGAAAAGAGGGATTGATTGAATGAAAGAGATCAGAAAAGGCAGACTTTCCCCCACCAAAATAGGAGGAGAAGGGCAAGGGCAAGGGGAAATGCAGAAACAAAGGTGAATTTAATAATGGCAAATGGTCCTCTATGTCCAGAAAGGTTGTTAGTCCTGTACTGTTCATGCTCCCCACAAGAAACTGGACATAATGTATTCTGATAAAGCATTGTATCTGGATCTTACATCCTTTTCCAGGACTTAAGGTAGAGAGGATTTCACTTGAATGGAAACAATTAAATTGTTTTCAAATGCTGAATGTAAGATACTGGGCTTATACCACATGGAATGTAGCATTCCCCATAGATCCAAACATGATGCCCACTAAAGTCCATGTGTGAAATGAGTTTTCAGTGTGATTTCAAAATAAAAAAATTGCCTCACTGTATATGTTAAAATGCACAACTTTAAAAAATACAAATTTGTATTTATCAGGGTACAGAAAGGAACAAGCTTAGATCTGGAATTTGGCAGATTTCATCCAGCTAGCCCATGCCTCCCTGCTCATGGTCAAATTATTAATTAATTGTCACATTCAGCATTTAGATCACCTGTCTTGAAAAAAAGAGTGTCCTTCGAGAGTACTAAAGTTTCTAGACCTGATTAAAGATTCTCTGCCACTCAAACATGTCTTCGTGGATGATAAATTGTTTTCCGTCGACTGCTCTGGGATCCACCCTTCCAACTTTCATTTGTACAAAGGAGTTGTTGGGAAATAGAAGCATATTGGTTATATCAAATCCAGAATCTATCTCTCCTTTACTGTTAAAAGATACTTGCTCTCCCACTGAGTTATTAAATGAGTTTTCTTGAAGGTATGGGTGAAGCTAGATGCGTTAAAGTGGGTGTGTGGGGAGAGAGAGGGAGAGAGAGGGAGAGAGAGAATGATATGCTTATGAAGTTTCCTTGCTACTTCATTGAATTGTCCCTATTTGGGATGGCATATAATTTTGTCCCATCATTTTCAGGGGTGTCCCTTTTTCAATCTGTGGCAAAATCAGCATTCTCAGCTGATTGGGGTAGCAAAGACTGAGGACAAACTTTGCCAATTAAATTTCTTCTACATCCATTAAATAAAGCAGAGCATCCAGCTGCATGTCTCCCAAATATGTTCCTAACTTCTTATCCCAAACCCTCAAAACATGTAGCAGCAACAATCTCACCCATCGTCACCAGTCACATTTGGTGGGTACAATAATTCCCAATATTAGGAGGACAACGATGTTTTGGTTCCAAGTATGCTCCCTGCTTCTAGCTGTATAGGATTAGGACTTGGTCAAAAGCAGAAGAGATTGTTCTTACTTAATTATACATGTCATGGTTGAATACAAAGGAATTAAAGCTCCAACTTTTAAGAGCTAAGCACTCATCCTGTTCCTGGATATATATTTATCTGGTAGCATTAATTTCCCACACATACCCTCCTTCCCGCCCCCATTCTCTACCTCTGGCAAGTTTTGTGATTGTAGTTAGTGTGTTGTTTAATTCTGATTGTGAAAATGAAGTGCTGCACAAATTTTGTTAATTCTGATCAAAGCTGATCAGTTTGGGGCTAACAGGGCATCAGGGGAAGGGCTACACTGTCTCAGCATCCACTCAGAGAACTGTCTGTCTTTGGCTTGTCCATGCCAATACACAAGACGGGTGTGCTAAGAAGTATCTGCCAGTCCCATGGTACCCTACCTGTAAAACTCATAAATAAGGTGTGGCTATGACATTCAAGAGAAGATGTTTCTCCAAATGCTCTCATGCTACCTGCCAAGGTTGAAGATCTTCAAGATGAAACCATTTCCCGTGCACCATTGCTCTGTGCTTGGCCCTGGATGAGTGCATGGAGTGCAGAGCATGTGCGAAAGCATAGACTGCATTGTAGATGCTATAGCTGTGGCCAGTCATATTCATATCAAAAACAGTTTTAGGAAGGCTTTCCAACTTCTCTTCCCCAAGACATGTTTTGACATCCTGTATTAGCTCCTGGGGATTTGGAAATGAACATTCAAAAGCTTGTTCCCAGAACACATGGAGGAAGTCATCTGCTTGTGTCCACTGAGGTCTTAAGTTCTGAAGATATTCCTGGAATCCTTGAGGCTGCTTTGAGTGAACAGTGAAGGAGATTGTTCCTTGAAACATTTCTAAATTCAGTCTTCTAGTAACACCTGTTACTAACAACTCACTCTGTGCTGTCATAATCCAAACTTTGCCAACCAAAGCGCTTTCCTTATCATCAGGAAGCAATATGTACTTGAAGGTGATCAGCCACATAATAGTTGTAATATCCCCATACTGAACAAGAACTCTGGCAGTAGAATTCATGACAGATTCAAACTTATTCATGAACCTAATATCCTCTTCACTGTTGGTAACAACTCGAGTGTGGCATGGAATTCGAAGTGTAAAGTCAGAACAGATTCCCTTCTCGGAGAGCAAAGGTTCGAAGGTCTTCAGGAAATATGCTCCACTATCATCATCCACAACAAAGAGTCCAACCCAGGTCCAACCAAAATGCTGAAGCAGGTATACAATTCCTGAATACTCATGCACTTCATTAGGGACCATGCGATAGAAGGAAGGGAAGTGAGTTGTGCCCCTTTGTTCTGGGGGGAATGAGCCATAGGCCAGCTAAAGAATATATATAGAAGATCTAGTGACAGACTAGGAAGACATGCAGTGACTCTTGTTTGGTGAAGCAAGATCCACATTTTTTTAATTAATGAGAGGCTGTAATGTTAAGCAAAGGACACCTTGTTGAGAAATGTAGGAATCTGATGTAGGAAAGTAGCATGGCAAGAAAAAAAATCAAGAAGTCATCACTCACCCCTGAAGCAGATATCCTCCTACAGCCTGAAACCATTTCCACCTCAGTTCACTTCTTTCCACAGTGGAGGAAATGTCGTTTCCTATCAATATTACTACTCCAGTATTCAATTCAGAGAATCATCCGCTCAGTGAGAAACACAAAATTATGACATAAGCGTTTAAAAGTGTAAGTGTGCGTTTGTGAGGGAGGTTACGGTACACTATCCCATTGTGAGTTCTTACCTGAGGAATCTTGTAGCGTCCTAAAATATCTGCCATGTGGAAGGAAGTATCAGATGCAAATCCCCCAATGATGCCCACAAGATTTTTCTGCCTGTCACATTCATAG